AATTTTAATAGTCTAGATGATTATTACAAAGCCTAATAAAGTAAAGGCATGACTGCCAAATTAATTAAAAAAAAAAAGAAAAAAATGTAATATCTTTGTTAGAATTAAAGATAAAATAATAAAATTTAAATACATTATTTATAAAACATATATCTTTAATTTTTACTAAATAAATAGGAGGGTAAGGCTTAAATAAATTTTGAGAAAATTTTAAAAAACTTGTTAAAAATAATTTAAACAGGCAAATTTGCCCACTTTATAGTTTAAAGGATAAAGTAAATTTGCTCTTTAACAAAACTATATAGCAAAGAATATTTATTAATATTAGAATTAGAGTTCAAACAAAATTCTAGAAACTTATTTTTAAATTCTAGATTATTTTGTAGTTCTTTCTGAAGACCAAACATATTATTGAATATCTTCAATCAATACTTAATTGCTTTGCAAATTCTATTTTACATTTACTTGGTACCAAAAGCTACAGAGTTTATAAAGTAATAGAATAAAAAGCCTATACAAATTTATAACTAGAATTTCCACCTAACTAGTATACTGACAACAGTAAATGTATCTATAGAGATATTCATTTTACAAAACTTTTATATGCTTTGTTTATTCCTCATTTCAAATTATTAATGAGTCTACTAAATTCTTCATTATTTAGTAATCATATAGGCGGAAATTTCTAGTTAGAGCGCTGTGATTAGATGATAACAAAAGTGATATTTAAACTGCATATAAAAACTTCTCATCAGTGATCCTAATTTAGGATAATTTTGGGTTATTCTAGAATCACTACTCATAAATAGGATATAAAAACTCATAAGCAATTAATTAGCAATTTTATGATCACTGATCAAATCATCACTTTTAATCTCAGTAATCACACTATATTTTATATTTTATTGGCCTGGAATCTATTTAATCTCATTGTTCAACCTATATAATCACAAAAATTGGAAATTTCTGCCTATATATTCAAGTGCTATTAGTAGTTTTTGTCCAAAGAATGTGTTAAAATTTTTACAAAGTTCATGTAAAAACTTTATCCACTCATTTACTTCATCTAGTATTTCGTGAGCATGTCGGCCAGATGAAAGTTGAGCCAAACAGTTTTTTACTTAAATACAGAGTATTTGATCCTTTCTGACTATAAATTGCATCAATGGTTCATATAAGTGCTTGCCGAATATAACTACATCACGAAGTTATAAAAGTTATAATTATCTAGTTGATTAACCCATAGTTAATTAACCAAAAAAAAGTTTGTTAAATGGGGGCTTCGTTAAACATTACAATAAATATGCAGTATAAACATCAAGATATTTATATTATTTGATGTTTAACCTCTAAATACCATAGCATGCTATATGCATATATACATTAAAACTAAAAATATACAATATATTTATTATTATTTTTTTTTAATAACAAACAACACTAAAAATAATTTATTTATAATAATAATATTTAATATTATAACTAAAGCTTTATATTTATTATTCAAATTCGGGTAAATATTCAAATAGATATTTGCCAATCTAAATTATTTAAATACTGTATTATTCAAATAAAGAATCCATAAACTCTAATTATAACAGATATTTTTAAAATTCATATCATCAACTTAACACATAAAAATTGCATAACAACTATAAAGTCCTTCAAATAAACTAATTGCAAGTCATACTACACAAAAACAGATAATAAAACCAAAATAACAACCCTTCACTTTGAATGAAGTTCTTAAATATGACCTACTAAGAAAAACATTAGTTAAATAAATACATATCAAAAAAAAACTTCCACTAATATGAACAAAAACTACATACCGTATTTTTGCAAAATAATGCACAGAGGCATTATTTAGGATTTTCCCCTAAATTAAGCTTAATTCAGGCCAATTTTTGAAATTACACCCCTGTGTGTTATTTTGTAAAGATATAGTAATGATGATAACACCAAAAGCAACACGAACTGGATATTAAACCCAAGGGATATATTATAGTGCCATCAAATGGGAAACACATGATGAATGATAAACTGAGGAACATTACCTGGAAAGAAATATGCTAGCTAAACATATTCGTTTGCTAAAACAGCAAAAAAAAAAGCTATTAGTGATTAAATATGAAAAATTACATATCAATAGCGAAAGCGACACGAGACGTATACTAAACTCTAGGGACGTTACCTGGAAGGAAGTTAACTATATTCATTGATTAAACAGAAAAAAAATTACTAGCGATTATATGTGAACAAAATATATGTCAACAGCCACACCAAAAAAGCAACACGAGACGAATGCTAAACCTTAGAGACATTAACTGGAGGGAAGTTAACCATATTCATTGATTAAACAGAAAAAAAATTACTAGCAATTATATGTGAACAAAATATATGTCAACAGCCGCACCAAAAAAGCAATACGAGACGTATGCTAAACTCTAGGGACATTACCTGAAAGGAAGTTAACCATATTCATTAATTAAACAGCAAAAATTACCAGTGATTATATGTAAACAAAATATATATCAACAGCCGCACCAAAAGAGTGACACGAAATAAACGCTAAACCCTAGGGATGTTACCTGGATGGAAGTTAGCCATATTCATTGATTAAACAAAAAAAAACCACCAGAGATTAAATATGAACAAAATATATGTCAACAGCTGCACCAAGAGTGATATGAGACGAATTAGCCATATTCATTGATTAAACAGCAAAAAAATTACTAGCAATTATATGTGAACAAAATATATGTCAACAGCGACACGAAGAAAGGAAGTTAAACATATTCATTGACTAAAACAGCGAAAAAATCACTAGCGATTAAATATATATATCAACAGAGACACCAAAAAGCAACATGAGACGAATGTTAAACCTACTGAAAGAATATGTGTTAGCCAGTGATTAAATGCGAACAAAATATATAACAACAATGACACCAAAAAGAAACAAGGCTAAACTCGAAAGACATTACTTGGAAAGAAAGAACTACCAGAGATTAAATAGTTTAATCTTATCAGCTTCTAAAATTTGTTATTTTGATTTCATTATATTTCAGATTCACTTCATTTAACCAACGTATGATTCCACGAAATGCTCTTTGTACGGCCGAAATCTCAGTCATGATAACTTCGAGACTGTAAATGTCTGATATGGCTGACTTATCAAAACCTCAGACACTAAATTCTAAGATCAGAACAAAAACAATGTGTAACATAACGATATGTGCTTTATATACTATATATATATTATATATATAGTATACGATAACATGCAAAATTTAATATATACATATTGTAATAGTTTTTCTGTATTACATATGTAGCAAGTTGTAGAATTACGACTAAATTTAGTGTATTTGGAATAAAAACTAATTTGTAATCGCTTTTACCAAGAACGAACTAAGCAGTTATAAGAAATTGACTACAACAATTCTATATTATCCATCCATTCAATAATCTTCAGGATCATTATAACCATTATCGTCATAATTGTGATACATAGAAGGAGTGCCAGAATGTGAAATATCAGAATGGCAGTTAGAATGATTTTCGTATTCTTCTAAGTATTGCTCGTCATTATTTTATATTATCAAAGAATAAAAAATTAATAAATAGAAAAAAAAAGGCTAGAAACTTAACAAATAGAATACTTTAACCACTTACATCTTCAGCATTATCATCAGACTCTTGGATATTATTAACTTGTTTAGAAAGCGCTTCCATTCGGGAATGGATTTCTCCACCCATAAGAGAGGTAGTCGTGATTGTAGGATTAAACATTATATCAATCACCGCAATAGCAAATTCTTGATTGAGCTTTGAATAACAACTTCTAAATACTTTAGTCATAATATGATGTATATATATATTACGAGGATCAGCACCTTCTGGTAGATCAACAGGCTTCCATAGTTTAGACTTTGCTTCTAACATTGCCATGCTGGTTTTTTCATGTTAAGACTTCTTGCTTAGAAGCCTTCTGCCCAAGAATATCTTCTATAGCTACTTTGCCAAGTATATTGACCATTGTTGTCTTTATTTTTATACATCGTTGGCTCGTCTGACACGATATTGTTGGCGGGCCTATAGAATAACCATAAATTAAAATATTTGTAACAGATTTTACAATAAGAAAGATATCTTACATCAAATTGAACAACTTCTTTCCAATATTTATTCTATCCTCCTTGAGAATTTTCAACTTGACTCATTTTCTTATAATAATTGTTTTTGAGCTTATCATAGCACATACTTTTCATTACTAGATCACTTGCATTCTTATCAATTTCAAGCAGCTCAAACATTGCATCGGCCACATCTTCCTATATTAAAAAAAATTATCTTTAGATTAAACAAGTCAATGATCATATGCAAAACAAACTACATATTTACCAAAAACTATTTCTTAGTTCTTTTTGTTGTCATATCGTCATTATTGTCATTAGTGCCAGTTATAATTTGAACAAGGTTTTGTATTGATTCTTCAACGCGAGACATTGCATTTTTAGTTTCACGGGCAAGCTCGAGGCTATTCATTGCGTATTGCATTGCCTTCTGGAGTGTGAGACGATCTTCGTTGGCCAACCTTATAACTATATCAAGAACTAATTAGATGTTATACAGATCTGTATTTGCATAAAGTTAAATACTAATTACCGTTATCTGTATTTTCATATAAATGCTTTGAAGGAATAGAAGAAATAGTATATTCGTAAAGTGACTGTCGTAGTTGTTTTTCATATGCTAAACTACTTTCTGATTCATTCTACAATAATAGAAAAATTAATAAATATTAATAGAAAAATAAATATCAAAAAGTCATCGGTTAAATTACCCTAAAAGTGTAGTCGTAGTCATGTTCACTAAAAGACTGTAAAGTGCTATGAGGCTGCAATAATCAAATACAGTATATTAAAAATTAAAATATTAAATAGACTATAATTAAATAGAAATTGTGTTAAACAAGCGACATTATAAATACCTTAAGTATATTACTTCACTGACTAATAGCAGGTTGTTGATTTTTAGATTGAGATTGTAGAGGATTATTGGCTTGCGATAGTTCTTTTGCACATGATAGCAATGAATGTAATGTCTTAGGACAAAACTAAATAATTAATATATAAAATATAAATACCGAATAGAAGCATTGTATTAAAATAGATATTAAATTAATTGTGTCAAAAATCACCTTTGACATATCTGGTTGACTGCGAGAGGATGATGAGTATACTGACGTTGGAGCAAGTGTTTCTAAAGCATCATCAGCTTGGTTTTCTGGAGATTCATTAGATTTAATTTTATTTCTGCTACGGCGCATGTTTTGAGAGAAGTGTATAAATGGAAAATGAAAGGCTATAACCAAAAAAATGAAATCGACTTTATAAAGAAAATAATCTATTTATATGATCAGTAAAGTATCATCACATTACATCATTGCATAATACTACTAACAAAACTCCACTAAGAACATATATATTAATGTAAAACATATATTAGTTGATCTGCTTTTTTTTTTTTTTAGTGCTATTACTATGTTCAAGGATATTGAGAAAAAAAGGAAAAGAACCAGGGCGGATGAAGTTCCAGAAGGAGAGAAGAAAGGTGTCATCATTTGTCGTTATTGTCCTCAATCTTTTATACGAAGAAATTGTTATCAAAATTATTTAACAAAACATAAAGGTATAGTTTATGCGGAAGAAAATCAACTTCAAATGCTTTTGAAAGAAACTAGAGTCTTGACAAACACTCAGTTTGTAAGAGAACGAACACCTCTATCTAGTATCTTTTATAGCAACACTAATGAAGCCGATGGAAATCATAGAACTAGTGAAACTAGTAATTATAAAAATGAAACTAGTGAAATTAATCTTGAACATGTTTAACAAGACTGGGACGATACAGAGATATTTGAGGTTGTATATGCTATTACGATTTTATGTAATACAGGCTAGTTGTATAGAATTTTTTTTTAAATAAGAAAATTTTGATTTTTCTGAAAACATATATTTTACAGTGTTTTTTTTTTTTTTTTAAAGTATTCCAAGTATCCGGCTTACCATTATTACTTTATCTAATTATAGAATGAAATATAGAAAATTAATATTGAGGAAAATTCTCCAATAATCAATATGCGCTCTGTGCAATGTTTGTATGCAACTACTGTATATCGACCTCCAACATTTCCACATCCAGCATATGCACAATTTATGAAAATAGTGATGAAATATCATCTACCAAATAGTGTAGGTAATGAACTTATTAGTTGGTTTAATAAATACAAAATGGACCCACATGCTGTTCTGCCTACCAATATGAAGCAAGATTACATATTGCTCGATTCAATGAATATTTCACACATATTATATACCAAGACAGTTATCTTAGAGCATAATGATACTAAATATGTGCTACATTACAGACCACTCTTCGATGCAATTAAAGAGCTATTAAGCAATCCTGATATATTTAAACATTGCATTTTTGACTACACACCAAGATTTATCACCAATGACAAAGGCGAATTTGAACATTGCTATGGGGAGCAGTTTAGTGGAAGGTGGTGGGGTCAGGCCCAGGCATCGATTAACAGATATGCAAAAATTATATCTATTATTCTTTATTCGGATGCTATGACATGTGATGTATTAAGAAAAGTATTTGAACACCCGGTGTATCTAATGTTAGAAAATATTCCCATTTGGCGTCACAATAAACCTGATACTAAAGCGTTGATAGCATATCTACCAACTTTAAAGTGCTCTGAAGATCAAAAAAAAACACTACAACCTGCCTTGTTTAAATGTCAACTTTTCCATCGCTCAATGGAAATTCTTTTTGAACCAATAAAATCGAAATCTACAAGTGGTGTTGAATTACATATGGATGGTGGCCTATTTTGGTGTTATCCGTTTTTGTCACAGATATTGGATGATCTGCCTGAACATTCGACTATGACATTGACATACAACTCAGTAAACTGCAATATGCCATGCCATTTTTGCTTAATTCCCAAAGAACAATTTTAATAACCCATTGATTAATTCTGAATCTATTATTTTACGTACACCAAAAACAATGAAACGGGTAATTAAGCAAAATCAGGCCAAAGAATATTCAATACAAGACATGAAAAATCCTTTTTGGAGTCTTCCATATGTATTAATATATATAGTATCGGTATACTGTATATCGATATTTATATCCTAACAACATATTGAATAACTATAGATGAAATTTGTAAGACAGAGTATAAAGGTCTGGTGAAATAAATTAGAAAGGATGAAATAGTTTGGTAAAACTGGTTTGAATTGGTGAAATTAGTGAAAATAATTTCACTAGCGTTTCTAGTAGGGTACATATCCACTTATGATGGTGGCACTAAAGTAATATAAAGTACTTATCGATTAATGCAGTGTAATAATTATTTACACGTGTAAACCGGATTGTATCAGCTTTTTCTTGAAAATAGGTTAGGGTGAAAGAATGTTTTCATGTGAATATAAAACATGATTTATTTGTATGTACGTACGTACGTAAAAAAAAAAGTGATACTTGAAATGAGCAAAGTGGGGCTAGAAGATATACTGTAGAAAAAAATAGATTAGACTTGAAAAATTTACATAGAACAAGGCCAAGAGCTATATTTATCGAAAATATATATATAGACAAAGCTGTTTGTATATGCAAGTGTAACAAAAACATTTATAATTCAAGTAGGTTTTAAATTTTAAAGAGATTTTTATAGTCATCACGAAGTTGTATAAAATATTTAATATATAACAGGTTATTTAACTAAGATGTTAAATATCTAGTTGTATATTGTGTTGATTATTATTAAAAATACGATATTTATTCTTTTGAATTAAACAACGGGTTGATTATTGATTTTTAAACTTCCTAATGTAAGCACTGAACTTGGATATTTAATTTTTTGTTTAAGAGCCAATTTCAAAATAAATGCCTGGTTAGTAAGTATAAAGAAACTTATTAATAAATATATTTAAAATAAGTATTTAAGTTTATAAATATTAATTAAAATATACTAATCTGAAAGATATATAGCTAGTGTATTTTGATTATTTTCAAGTTCCTGAATAAATCAATTCATAAATTCTATATATTCTTCACGCCAGGCTAAATATTGCTTTACAATAAGCAATTCATATCTCCAATAACTCTGAATTGGCAATTGGTATTAAGAGAAGTGATACTTTAATAATTTGTTGTATAATTTTGAATCCAACTTGATTTCATATTGAGCAGTTTTTCTTTATTACTTGAGTCATATTTATTATAAAGATATTAAGCTAAGTATAAGAGATTATATAATTGTAGTGTTCATGAAAATCTTATTGAGAAAAATGACTTGCCAAATACTGTCTCTTCAAAGGTTGAAAAAACAATATGCATTATATGCATTTCACAAGCAATCCTTACTATTTTTATATTTGCCTTCTTATTAAATTGAACAATTGCTTTTTTTTTTTTTTTTTTATAATTTGGCAGTCATGCCTTAGCTTTATTAGGCTTTGTACAATTCCTCTAGAATATGTA